TGCCTTAAAGTCAATAATTGTGACTAATTAACTTTTCTTCAGGTCGCTTCAGACTATAATTATTGGCCTCCTCATATGGTGTCATATAGGACTTTTGGCATTGGGGATTGAATGATGTTGTAATGGCAACGTCAGAACTTTCACGAAGGGAAATAAAAAAATGTTGAAATGGCAAATATACATTTATTTTGTATATATTAAAAGAATTCAATTTTCTATAGACTTGAAGAAAATTTCAAAATATTTTAGGATCGGATACCACTCCCATCCCTTGTGGCTCTGCCAAATTGGCAATAAAGAGTAAAGATTGACGATAACCACGCGTTAGCTCCTATTTGATTTAGCTTAAAAATTGATAAAAATTTAAGTCAAAGTCAATATTTTATGAAATTCACAATTTTTATCAAAATTTATTAAAAAAATCTAATTTTTAACTACATCAAACACGGAGCTAAGATTTAATAGACTACATCAAAGTCGTTTTACGAGCACGTGTTGTTTAACTAATAATTGCATTACAATGACCACCCTATAATTGGAATACCGTTCAAATAATTTGGACTGACCATCACGACTCATTTTACATAAATAAACTGGACCCTTCATTTCCTAGCACTCCATTTGGCATAAAAACCAAATTAATGTGTATGAAAAGATTTAATAGATTGTATTTATTATAATCTTCTTGTTCAATTCTCTCTGTCAAACGCGCTATTAGAGTTCAATCAAGTATGTCAAATCTAGCTCAAGTACATGTAATCACAATGACGATTAAATTAGTCAAATCGACTAAAAAATGCAGGATAATTAGTAACTTAAATGAAACAACTTTGTAACTTTGATGATCATTTATGTTAAACAAAAATTCAAGGGATAATTGCAGTAACGGTTTCAAATATGTGGATTTTTCGCAGACTTTACCCTAACTTTCAGTTTGAGTCACCAATGGTCTCAAACCTTTGGAAAATTATTATCTGAAAACAAATTGATGATTTTTGTTAGTTTGACCGTTAGTTAACATACAAATTTGACTTTGACCAAATCTAAATATTTTTTAAAGGATAAAATGGTAACTTTACATTTTATAAATAAAATATCTAAACCCAATCATTATTCATAGAGAAAAAGTATTTGTACAGAAAAAAATAACCAGAATTACACCAGAATAGAGACAAATATGGGCCCCGCCATGTATTTAAAAGGAAAAAAAATGTGCGGGCCCCACCCTTGTGTGAGTAGTCTGTTGTAATTCTGGTGATTTTTTTTCTGGTTGTGCAGCAAAGTTCTTATTCATATTCTCCTTCCCACCCACCCCAAAACCAGCTGGTCCTCCACTTGGACGTTGTAAAACGGACAAATATATATATATATATATATATATATATTGAAAGAATAAAATCAATGGTTGGGAATTGGGATTGAGCTTCTACTTCACCTAGTGAAACTCTCTTATTTAAAGCCTAGCTTTTCAATCTAAAGTCAATAATTGTGACTAATTAACTTTCTTCAGGTCACATCAAATTATAATTCTTGGCCTCCTCATTGTTGACTTTTATTAAACAGATGAGACTCAATAACGACTATATTTTCAATTTTAATTGGATTAAAATCCCTTCCAAACAAGCCGATAATACTAATTTATTTGTAATGGCAAAGTCAGAACTTTCAGGAAGGGAAACAAAAAAAATGTTATAAATGGCAAATATACATTTATTTTGTATATATTAAAAGAATTCAATTTTCTATAGACTTCAAGAAAATTTCAAAATATTTTAGGATCGGATACCACTCCCATCCCTTGTGGCTCTGCCAAAGTGGCAATAAAGAGTAAAGATTGACGATAACCACGCGCTACGTAACATTATTTAGCTCCTATTTGATTTAGCTTAAAAATTGATAAAAATTTAAGTCAAAGTCAATATTTTACGAGATTCACAATTTTTATCAAAATCTATTTTAAAAAATCTAATTTTTAGCTACACCAAACACGGAGCTAAGATTAAAATGAAAATTAACCTCAAGTTCATTCATCAGCCATAGGGCAGAGCAGGTGGGGGCCGCTAAGGATGCGGTTCATCCCCTATTAACATAAATGCCACAAGTACAATAATAGATTTTGATTCATCTGCATGTCTTGGGATCATGGGATCCACAGCCATTTCGTCGATTGTGGCTTGTATAGTACATGGCGCCCAATCATAACCTAAAAAATCCTTAATTAAAAAAAAAAGGATGAACCGCATCCTTGGCGGCCCCTACATGTCCTGTCCTGGGTCTTGGTAAAGGAGGTAAATCGCAGGTTATGCCTCCAAAGATATATGATGGAAGACTGCTTGTACACTTGTAGTCGTGGGCTCAAGTTGCCGTAAAACTCTTGTCAAAGGAATATTTGAACATGATCATCTATGTAATTAATGGACCGATTTATCGTAGTTGTCACTGTTTCTCTAGCAGATCCTCATGCCCTCAAGTTGGACTCACAACTACAAAATCAGAATGGGAGCTCGTACTTTTGAAGTATTTTATAGGTTTCCTGACATTACAAAGTTATGAACACAGGTCTTTGTCCTATGCTGATTGATGGCCACAAATCACCAAGCAAACCATTTTTTGGAAATAGACCAGAAAGACTCGATGTAATGAACAACAACATCTTCTCACAAATAACAATTCACGCGGTTGTATTTTTCTAACAAAGAAATCTCCCAACCAGAAGTTGGAGATTGAAGAGAAGGCGAAAAAGAAATAGAAAGAATTCTAGAAGGTTGCACAAGAAAATCAGACAATGGAATTAATTAGGGCAACACAATTGTATCTATTTATACTCTTAATGCCCACCATAAGATCTAACGGTTAAGAGCAACTAACAAGTTTGCAACAATTGGAAGCAACATTTTATAAATAAAGTCGGGACATTACTCAACTTATTGGATCCCAGTTTTGGGCTTCATCATCATCGATTTATCAGGCAAAGGAAAATAGTCCATGGGTCAAGCCCAAATCACCATTTCCCCAATGAGGAAATTAGACCATATGCCCTAAATATAAGGCAATTTTGAAAAATTATGTGAAAAATAAATTAAAAGTATAAAATATTGCATTTTTATATTTATTTTAGCCGATCAACAAACTAAATTCTAATTATTTCCCACCTCTCTCTCTCTCCCTCTGTGTGTGTGTGTTCATCCAATGTCTCGGTGAAGGAGTTAATAGAATCCCCTGCAGTTTTATACCCATCTCCTTTTTCTAATGGCCAGATTCTTGAATGTAAGTCACCAGCATTTTCGTTTTCTGAAGAAGCCTCTTCTTTATTGCTCCATACTTGGGTCTCCAACAATGGGTCTTCAAACAATTAGTAATCTCTTGTCTTTGCTGAGCTCACGAGAATTAGGAGAGTGAGATGTGATCTTTTGATAGCCAACAAATATCGAGGACCCTTCCTTAGGTCTCCAAACGTGTGGTGTTTTTTCGAAGACCTGCCCATTAATTTTTGTCCATTTTCTGTCTTTTCTAGAAATTGGACTGTACGATAAAATGTTTTCTAAAATATTATACCGAGCAAAATAAACAAGATCGAGGGGGGAAAACAAGAATTATACAACAAAGTTTAGGAAGAATTGCACTTTTGTTCCTCAATTTCTCGCTTTTTAGAAAATGAATCCCCAACTATTGAAAATAACAAGCTAATTTCCAACTTTTTCGTGATAGTTGTTAAATTGTCACATAGCGATCATGGAAACACAACTCACAATAAATTTTTGGATTATCATACCAAGTCAAAAAGGAAAAACTACTTAGACAACAACTAAAGAGAAAATTGGACGAATTTCGTTATTGAAAGCAGATTGTAAAATTATTATGAAAAATTGAGAACTAACATGTTCTTCACAGCCTCTATTTGGGCTCCATTAAAATGTATTTTGAAACAACGATTTTTTGAAAAATGTGTAGTTAAAAAATAAAGAAAAATTTTAGATTTACGTGTAATATTATTTTGTGGGAGAATGTGTAGTTGAAAATGTATTTTGGAAAAATTGAGTCCAAACAGGAGAGTAGTAAAGAAATAATAATTTTCACAAAAAAATTTCAATTCCCATGAGTTTATCATAAGGAACATATCACTCGTGCAAATCTTCCGCTCTATAAACATAAAGAAAATCTTCAATGGACACAAAAAGTGAAGAACGTGCATAACATTAATTAATTGTGAACATGAAGCTAATTCATTCAATTTCTGTGTTGCTTGCTAAGACAAATGTCCCAGGAAGCCAAAATAAAAAAATAAAAAAAGAGAAAAATAAAAATACATATAAATGTAAAGTATAATTTTTCTTGTCTATAATTTCATTTGTCACATTATTCATTTCCTCATTCTCTTCCACTGGCAATGCCTTCTGATAACCTTTCCCTTGCCTTAATTGCCTGCACAACCAATACCAAAATTCAAATTCAAGCGTACTTAAAAAATATTTTTTATAAGTATAAAATATTTTCTAGTTCAACCCTGGCTCCGCCCCTAAATTCGCTAAACGAATAAATAAATCATAAACAACTGTTGGAATACAAGTCAAGAAAGGGATAGGGAGAAGAAAAATTCACCTGATTTTGCCAATCTGTGAAGGCTGTTACAAGGGAAAGAATAGTTGATTGCAGTACTGAACCAATAACTATCCCAATCCAAAATCCCTTTGCTTTTAAATGAAGAGTAAAACCTAATGCCACAGCTACTGGAATTCCAACTATATAAAACGCCCCTAAGTTGATATATGCCCCAATATGTTGCCATCCACTTCCCCTTGCAATTCCTAATGTAAAACTTGCATTACAAGATAAAATATATGTATTTTGAGGTATTTGTGTAAGAAGTTTGATGTACTGACCTGAGATAACAGCTTGTAGGCTATCTGTAACAATTGAGAGGCAAATAAAGGGAATCATAGCACCAATATAATCTACCACTTGCTTCTCGTTGCTATAAGCACGGCCTAAAATGTGGCGGAAGAATAACAGAACTATGCTTACTGTAACTGTTTCTATGACAGCCAGAAACATGATAACGGAAACTGCCACTCGTGCCTTTTGTGGATTCCCGGCTCCTAATTCGTTTGAAACACGAGTACTAGATAATGATCAAGCCTGTATTAGAATCCAAAAATCGTGCATCTTTGTATTGAGATGTGGAATTATTGATAATATTGTAATGAATTACCTTGCAGCAGCTCCAAACCCGTATGGAATAGTGAAGTGCAATGTTGAAATTGTTAGGCTGGTTATGAAGATGAATGAAGTCAAGGACATTTTCTTTTATTAACTCATTAAGTCATGAAATAAGGGAGTGCTGATGGATTTTGAGCATCACCATATTGAGAGTACTGATGTTTCAAGCTTTGGATTTGGTAAAAGGCCAGATAGCAGAATAAGCACTTCGAGTGACCACCATTTAAGACTACAATCATAAAGTGATCAGGAAATGTAGCCGAGGAATTCAGCTTATAAAGAACAAAAAAAATTGAAAATAAAGAAGAAATTACCAAACCATCACAGCAGAAGGAATTGCTAGGCGAAAGAATATCCCAATACTTCGAAAGGCCTCGACTGAGAAAGGCACACGCGTGTTCTTACAGGATGTCGAGAATTTGATGTAAAATGAAAGCAGAACAACGTATAACCAATTTGACAGACAGAAAGCCACGGCTGCACCAACTGTTCCCAGGTCTAACTTATATATCAGAGCCCAACTCGCAAATATGTGGCAAAATAGTACAGCACAGGAGCTTATGAGCATTGGTAAAATCAGGCTTTGACTCTGCAGGTATCTTACTAGAGGCTTAGAAATTGCAGCCCCAAGCAGTGCAGGGATGAGCCAAATTGAATACTTTTGCGCTTCGACTGAGATTGAAGGGTCTTGTTTCAGAAAAATAAGCAGTCTGTCCATGAAAATCCACAGAACACATACGGGAGTGCAAACCATAATCAACGAGACTATTGCAGTGTAGGTATAGACACCAAGCTTGCGGTACTGTTTTGCACCATATGCCTGCCCACAAAGAGTCTCCAAACCACCAACCAGGCCGGACTATTTGGCATCAGCAAAACGTAAATCAATCAATGATATGATTTGTGTTATTGCGAAAATACTCAAAATTGTATATTAGACTTACAAGAAGACTGAAGCCGGTGACATTAGTTAGAGACGTGGCAATGGCGACACTGGATAGCGCGAGCTGACCAAGATGTCCGACCATCATTACCGATACAACCTGCAACAGGTACTGCAACATTGTAACTATCACCATTGGTGCTGCTATATGGCTCACCTTCTTCAGTTCTTGAACAAAAACACCCAACTTTGTGTTCCATTTCCCTCCTTCCCTATCTGGCAACACCCCTTCTTCTATGCTTTGCTTCTCCATAAAACTTAATTAATCTACTAGATGTAAAGTGATTATAATTAATTTAGCTTCAAACTGAATATATAAACAGGTATAACAAGACTGATAAAATGACTTGCATTCAGTGAGATCTTGATTAGAAACTATTAAATAGAAACTTATTGTGGAATATTGATGTGAATATGATTATTTAAATCCAACTCTTTGTTCTTGCATTTATTTAATATATTGGGCACGACAAATTAGCAATCATAATTCTTTCAAGGGTAATCTTCTTAGGTTCTTCCTCGTCGTTGACCATTTACCACAACTGCGATTCATTTTGAATAAGATAAAGTTACAGTTTGGTAAAACAAAAAGGATCATAATCCATCATAAAGAATTGAACTTTAAATCTTCTATGAAAATATCCGTTTTGCAGGCAACATATCTCCAGATTCAAGAGCTCTTACTTTCTATTAGTTATATATGAACGTGTCTACCATTCGAAAAATAAGTTCTGCCAATTAAATAATTGAGAAAAAGACTCAGTTTTACATTAAACAAATAGTACGACATGGATTTAAAAATGCTCGAAGACTTGCTGGTCAGTTTGGTTGTTAGACAGATTTAGGGACATCGTTATCCTTAATTGTAACAATTGGAATTAATATCTTAAATCATGTATAAAATGATACATACGTGTCCATTATGACAGAGACATTAGTATCGTAATCTTCAAATACAGGTAAATTTAAAAATTCAGTTGGCGATGTCAAGACTTTTATCACCTTCAATTGTTAGCACATGTTTGATGAAACTGCGATAAAATCGAATGGTATAATTATACAAAATGTAATATTGTGTTTCAAAATCATTGCAAAAAAAAAATTAAAAAACAGTAGAAGGACTCTGGCCTCTGGGTCATCATAGGAACTAAACTCCCGCCTTTGGACCGATTACTGACTGAGCAAGGGATGAGATTGTTCTTTACTCACTTTCTTCGGTTCAAAAGCCACAGTTGGGGGCATGGGATTGACCCATTGATGGGAACAACGGAGAAAAGCACAGGTCAGCTTGCAGATATCGGATTCAACGCGTGCTTAATTGTCCTGGGGCTTTTCGTGATTAGTCCTTGGGCACATCATTGGTCCAAGACATTGAGCAGCAGCTAGCTTATTGAGCTCATTACTGTTGGCCTCTTAACTCATTAGGCATTATGATTAGGAAATAAGAATAATTATGCCAGAAATTACAATTACTCTTAAAATTTCAAATATACTGTTTTTACATTTTTATTCATCACATAATTTTTCAAGTACTCAAAACACAAACTACAACACAAATACACCAACAATAGCAGTCCACCAACCGGACCACCACACTCTAGTACAACGGGTGGCGGCTGTGATATTGACAGTGACATGTATAAATTTAAAATTAAAAAAAACAGTGGTGTGGGGAAAAAAAAGGGGACAAGGTTCAAAAGTAGAGTCACAAGAGTACTCGAATGCTGTGGCAGCATCTAAAATACACATCATTGAAGACACCAAAGCGCTATACATTATTAGAGGATATCAAGAAATACCGGCTATAACCCCAGAGAAAACTGTGATTTGAACATCCACATTGCAGAAACTAACTGCACTCTACCTCAGTTTTTGTGCTGCATTCTTCCACTTTCTGCACCCGCATATGGATCGATTGTAACATTTATGACAGTAGGTTTCCGTGCTGAAAAAGATTCGGCAAGTGCTGATTTCAGTTCAGCTGGAGTCCCAGCAAGATAACCCTTTCCTCCAAAAGCTTCAACAAGAACATGATATGCTGCACCAGGGACAAAAGAAGTAGGCGCCGGGTCATCCTTGTAAGGACCGGTTATTTCATCGGAGTTCCTCCGGTCACCTCCATAAACTCCACCATTGTTGAAGACTATAACCACCACAGGCAACTGATATCGAACCAACGTCTGCAAAAGTACAAACAAGCATATTATGGCAGTGGAGTTACTTCCGCTCAAGATGGTATATTGTGGAGCATGCTATTTTGTAAAAGTTTGAATCAAAGAAATAAAACAATGATCACTATTTCAATGAACAGAGGCCAAAACCTGGGTAAGACTTGGGTAAGGCCCAAGAAAGGTCATTGCCCCCCACAAAACCCTTCCAACACCAAATACGCACACATATATGAACGAAATATGTTATTTCATGCTTCCCATTGTAGGCACAAAATAAATAGCTCTACTAATTAGCCTTGAAAGGGAACAAGATGCATTAATGAAATTTGTGCAACTAAGGTCCCGGTGTATGCACAAAATAAATAGTCCTACTATTTCAGCCTTGAAAGGGAACAAGATGCATAAATGAATTGTGCAAGTTAGGGAAAATGAAAACGGGGAAATGGGATAATGGAGATAAATTCAGTGATCACCGCGAAACTAGCTTCCAAATTAAACACAAACAGATCTAAACATGATTGAGAGAATTAAGTAGATCTATGCACGAGTAATAACATCCACAACTTCAACACTTGTATTAATCCAACGAAATATAATAATCTCAGTCAAGAATCAAGTTAGCATAACAAATGAACTATTGAATTACAGTTAGAGGAGAAGATAAAGAAATAAATGCGGGAAACGGGAATAATCAAAGGATACATGAAGTATCAAAAGCCGAGAATGTAGCACCTGGAAAATAAAGAATAACAGTATTTGGAGAAAATAAAAGAAATGTTAACAATCAACAGAGTTAAAGAACTAATGATTGAAATGCTTAGTCCAATGACTAGGCAAGTAACTTGGTTAGAAAAAAAATGAATCATTACAGTCAGCAACAAGGAAAAGGTGATTTTGAAAATGAGAAACATGGATTACGGAACATTATATATAAATATTACACCACATTAATTACCACGATAGATCTACACAACAACAATCTCTAATTCTATGACTTAGGCACTGAGAGAAAGATGTTACAAATAGGGGAGGAAATGCACTGCAAGAGGAATAAAGAAGCAATATAAGTTAAAAGAGAAAAGATTAGGTAGAACTCTATTTCCTAAACACTTCATGTTCACCATAAAAAGGAAAATCATTGCAAGTGATGGCAGTAAAGCACAGAAGAGCAAGATGCACAAGCTGTATAAAATAAGTCACCAAAAACATAGTATTGTCAATGAATATGATAGACCAAAGTAAGATGCAGCAGTGACAAGAAAACAAATAACAATATTGCACTCTAATGAAGACAACATACCTCGACTTCCATCGCACTGAACCCAAATCCCGAGTCACCTTCAACAGCCACAACTAGCCGATCAGGTGATGCCACTGCCGCAGCAATGCAATATCCAAGACCAACTCCCATTGTCCCCCAAGTCCCAGCGTCCAACCTAGTCCTGGGCTCCGTCTGAACTAGTACAGAGCGGCCAACATCCATCGTGTTAGCTCCTTCAGAAACTAATATGGGAGCAGGACTGCCCATCTCTAAAATGGCATCCCTAATAATCTTCATTGGCGTCAGAAAATTGAAGGGCACTACCTCCTTTGCAAGCTGCACCTCCATTTTTGCCACATTCTCCTTTACTTTATTCGTTATCGCCTCAATCCAAGGGTGAGTCTTCCCCAAACAAAAAGGATCATCCTTAATCTCCTGATGTAACTTCTCCACTACATCTTTTGCATCCCCCACTATCCCCAAAGATGGCTTTCTCAACTCAATTTCTTCTTTACATACTTCAATGAGTATGAACTTCACATCCTTTGACCACTTGGGCGGCTCCCCAAAATGCAACAACCAGTTAAGCCGAGCACCAACCACCAATGCCACATCACATTTTCCGATAGCTAGTGACCTGGCAGCTGTGGCTGCTAGCTCGTGCGTGTCGGACAGTAACCCCTTTCCCATAGGAGTAGGCAAAAATGGAATTCCAGTTGTCTCCACCAGTTTCCTCAATGCATTTTCAGCTTTAGCAAAAGCCGCCCCCTTTCCAAACACAATTAAAGGCCTCTGAGCTTTCCTTAACAACTCAACTGCCGTTTGGATTTCTGAATAATTAATTCTTGGCTTTTCAATCAGTTCTTTGTTTCTTTCGTTCTCAGCTTGGATAATTAATCTGTCGGCCTCAGATTCCGAAACTGTTTGGTGAAGAACATCGGTCGGGAGGTCCAAATAAGTCCCACCGGGCCTGCCAGCAACGGCCCAATCAATGACGCTGAAAACAGAGGCGGGAATTCGACTGATATCTGTAGCTTTGGCTGAGAATTTCGAGAAGGGTTTTACTGCCGCCATTTGATCGAGCTCCTGGAAGTCGCCACGACCCGTGAAACTCTGATCGGAGGATCCGGAAATCAAGACCATAGGCCAGGCATTAGCGGCTGCGTTGGAAAGTCCTGCTAGGCCGTGGACACAACCAGGGCCCGAGACAGTGAGGAGCAACCCAGGGCGGCCGGTGAGATACCCATAGGCGGAGGCGGCATAACCCGCCGACTGCTCATTGTGAAATGCAATAAACCGGACCCCTAAAGCCACGGCGCGATTAGCGAGTGATGTAACCGGGATGCCCACAACCCCAAACATCCTGTCCACGCCGGCACGCGCCAAGCACATGGCCACCAAAGTGTTCCCGTCAACCGTCGGTGATCCTGACCTCTCTTGATTAGGGTCCGCCATTTTAATTGCAGCAATTTTCTCAGTAAATAATTGCAGCAGTGAGAATAGATTTGGATGCTTCTTGATTGAAACTTACAGGCAAGAAGGCTCCAGGGTTTAGCGTTTATATACTTTCGACAAACAATTTTTGGGTAAATCCGATGCGATTCTGCTAAAATAGCTGCCCCAAATGAGCATGAGCGAGAAGGAGATTCCGATGTTAGGAGGCAATTTGGTTTCGTCTAGCGCCGCGTGCCCAAATATTAAACAAACAAAACAAAGTTTGTTTTGGATTCCGAAGAGGGACCATTTAGCTCAATTAGGGTTATTTAGTTGAGTCGTGCTACACTTACAGGGTACTGTTTCACAGGTGAGTTACAGAGGACTTGTCGTATAAAAGGGAAGAACGCGAGCGAGGAGAGAGAAACCGCGAGCGAGGAGAGAGAGAGAAAACGCAGGCGCCCGTCCCGTTCAAAATCCCCAAAGAGTCGTGCTACACTTACAGGGTACTGTTTCACAGGTGAGTTACAGAGGACTTGTCGTATAAAAGGGAAAAACGCGAGCGAGGAGAGAGAAAACGCGAGCGAGGAGAGAGAGAGAAAACGCAGGCGCCCTTCCCGTTCAAAATCCCCAATGGTTACTCTCTAAAACCCTAGAAGCGACTCCAGTTGAGGAAAATGCTACTCTCCATTCCCGAACTCCGTCTGGCGAGTATGTTGCAATCCGTCTCCGTCTCCGTCTCCGTCCCCGCCGCCGTCCGAAGCTACTGAATCCCCTGCTCATCGATTTGAAACTTTTCAACTGCTGGACGTCCGAAGTAGCAAGCAGTCGACAATCACACAAATCTCCACGTCCCAAGTCCTCGCGAGCAAGTAAGATCCCTTCCGTGTGTCACCAACTCCGTTTAACCTCGTTCTGTTCTGTTCATCTTATTTCAAAATTTCGGTTGGTATTGTTTATATGAACTGAATCTGGAAGCTGGGTTGTGTATCAATTTTTGATAGGTGAGTTTGTTGAAGTTGGAAAATTGAACTTGGATTGGTTGTGTTCTTCTAATTTGGACTTTTGCATAAACCACCAGCAACTATAAACCCAGATTTGCATAAACTTACTGCTTTGGTTTTTGATTTTAGAGCTCACGAAGAGCATGAACTTACTGCTTTGGCTTCTGACTTTAGAGCTAAGGAAGAGCATAATCTTACTGGTTTTCAGTTTTTAATTGAAGAGAGCATAAACTTATTGATTTGGGCTTCTGCATAAATTTACTGGTTTGGCTTTCTTGAAGCTAATTTATTGTGATATTGTTGCTGCACTGATTTGGAGCATAACATTTGATGTTGCATAAACTTCCTCATTTCAGCATAACAAACTGATTTTGCAGAAACTTACTGATTTGGGGATAACATTTGGATTTGCATAAACTTACTGATTTCAGCATAAACATTTGATTCTTGTTGTTGCATTCCTTCCAGGATGAGAAGTCGGAATTTCGGCTTTTGTCACGGATGTAGAAGCACGGAGCACTTCTTTAGTGATTGCCCAGTGAAACGGCCATGTCCATGGTGTGCACACGGATTGCAGAAATGTTTCGAGGTGGAAAGGACCAATAACAAAGGTCGATTGTTCAAAACATGCAGTAGAAATTGTGGTTATTTTGATTGGGTCAAAAAGGAAGAATCGTTCGGCTCATCAAGTGTCATGACTGAAGCGGTAAATGTGGCGGACATCGAGGAAATTGAAGATTTGCCGACTACGTTTGATCGCCTAGCTCGAATAGCTGAAAGACGAGACGTCGAGGTTTCAGTTACCGTGACATTTCGCAAGGTGAAAGGAAGCGTGGGAGTTAATGGAAAGGGCAAGGAGAAAGCTTGATGTCGATTTATGCATTGAATGTTGAATGTCTTCATTCAATTAATGTGTAATGTCTGGCTTGTGGTGTTTTGCGAAGAATGTTGAATGTCTTTCTTCTAGTATTTCAACTATGTAGATGTTGTATTGTCAAAATTATGTAATGCTTTTCAAACTGACTAGGAGAACTAATGTATGTTGATATTGTAATGACTTGTGAGTTTAATAGCATTTTATTGTCATTAATTCCAGTTGCACTGTCCAATCATTTCGCCTGTTCCATATATATCTTTGCATAAACCAGTAGCAACTATAATACCCAGCAGCTATATATATAACACAGCAACTATAATACCCAGCAAAGAGGAAACACCAGCAAGTATATAACACCAGCAAATATAAACTAAATGCACCAGCAACTATATAGCACCAGCAAAGAGGAAACACCAGCAAATGTTAACCATTAAACCACAGTCAAATAGAAACCATTTCACAGAATGATCGTGAAAATAAGGTCATTACAGAAGTGTTGGGATTGAATCTGTTTCTAAGCAACACCGCAAAAATGGAGAATGTTGTTCCAAAATAAAAACATAATGACATCAAATATTGAACGATAAAATTAGCGGCATCTCTTCAAATCCCTTCAAATCCATTGCCATCGATGTTGGAAGGATTTTCCTGCATAATGTCATAACAATATAAGAACAATGTTGACACATATAAAATTGTAGGAAAAATGCTACAGCACCTGAACACCATGTATGCCCATTTGAGAACCCATTCCAATGACTGTAGATGATTGTAATGGTTGACTGACAATCTGGCTCCCGAAATCACCCTATAGTAAATACCAACATAAGTACGAACGTAAAAAGGGCAAAAATTTTAATGTCAAATATATGTGTTCTAACCAATGGGATCTGTGAATACGAAAACGGCGTAGGCTGCGAACTTTGAATTTCTTGACTGCACTGGACAACGGGAGCAGACTCTTCCACCTGACTACGCGTACCTCGCGATCTCCTATGTTTGATTGAACTCGTACTTCCCTGCATATCATTGTAACGGGTCAGTCCATCGCCGAAATAAAATTTATGTAAAAAGGGCAAGTAGCGTACCTTTCTTTTATTCGAACTGGACTCCAATGGACCTTTTCTCCGAAGTTTTCGTGGCGCACCCTTTCTTTTCGACAACACGGGATCAAATACACCGATGTCGGTAGTATTTTACATCTCTTCAAATCCCTTCAAATCCCTTCAAATCCATTGCCATCGATGTTGGAAGGATTTTCCTGCATAATGTCATAACAATATAAGAACAATGTTGAAACATATAAAATTGTAGGAAAAATGCTACAGCACCTGAACACCATGTATGCCCATTTGAGAACCCATTCCAATGACTGTAGATGATTGTAATGGTTGACTGACAATCTGGCTCCCGAAATCACCCTATAGTAAATACCAACATAAGTACGAACGTAAAAAGGGCAAAAATTTTAATGTCAAATATATGTGTTCTAACCAATGGGATCTGTGAATACGAAAACGGCGTAGGCTGCGAACTTTGAATTTCTTGACTGCACTGGACAACGGGAGCAGACTCTTCCACCTGACTACGCGTACCTCGCGATCTCCTATGTTTGATTGAACTCGTACTTCCTTGCATATCATTGTAACGGGTCAGTCCATCGCCGAAATAAAATTTATGTTTGCAGCTGCAAGTAGCATACCTTTCTTTTATTCGAACTGGACTCCAATGGACCTTTTCTCCGAAGTTTTCGTGGCGCACCCTTTGTTTTCGACAACACAGGATCAAATACACCGATGGCGGTAGTATTTTGAGAATTTGTACATTGAGTCGGCTGCGAAGGGACATTACTACCACCACTTAAATTGGACGTCCTGAGTTGTATTGCTTTCGCCTTTATCCAGTCCATGATAGAACGTGAACCCCCTTCATCTGGTGCAGCGAGGTCTGCCACCTCCGTGAAAGCCATACACATTTCATCGTACCTCAACTGCTCAGGTGTGCTCACCAACCCGTCATAATGTACTGCAACTCTCGTGTGAGCTCTACTGACGTCTTTCCTCCATCGACGCAAAATATACCTCTCTGGCATTGATGTAATGTCATTACGGTCGAGCACTGTGATCGCATGCCTACAAACAATTCCACGAAATTCAAACAGGTGGCAGCTACAAGTAATCTCTACCGTGTCACCACGAAACGACACGGAAAATGTTTTCTTCTTCCGCCCCCCGAGATGTACAACGGACTCTCTAACCTCGTAGTTCATCCCTAGCCAACTCTGTTCGACTGAGATGACGTCACAATAAACCTTTCCTATGAACTCAGCCTGAACTTCTTTGAACTTAGAAATTGTGTAAACTAACTGAAATTGCTTTTCCATCTCGAAGGTAGTTGCGCATGGTACCATCTGCGCGTAAGACTTGAAATCAGCCTGGAACTCTCGTTCAACCTTATTCCTTAATGCTCTTTCGTACTGTTCGACAAATTGTTTCAAAGAAGTTTTTGAATGGACATAACCATCAAAAAAGGCATTCATACTCTCACTTCGTTGCGTTGTCGACATGCCTGCCCAGAAAGTAGTCTTCAAAAAACACGGAACCCAACGCCCTCTGTTCTCGTAAAGTCCAATCAACCAAGCATTATCATGCAAGTCATATGTATCGAGCATTGCTATCCAACCTTCTTCGAACTCATCCTCAGTTTGGGAATCATACACTGCATTGTGTATAGCAGAGAAAATTGAACTTCTATCAACGTCATAACCAAACTTCTCTGGTAACTTTTTCATAATATGCCACAAACACCATCTATGTTTAGTACTCGGAAATACAATCTCAATTGCATTTTGCATGGCTCTATCTTGATCAGTAATTATGCCATGGGGGGGTTGACCATGCATGCACTGCAACCACGTCTTAAAGAGCCATACAAATGTACTTGTATCCTCATTCGACAACAAACCGCACCCAAGCAGCGTTGATTGTCCATGATGATTCACGCCAACGAACGGGGCAAAAGGCATATCGTACTTATTCGTGAGATATGTCGTATCAAATGTTACGACATCTCCGAACTCTTTGTATGCTTGCCTACACCTGTTATCTGCCCAAAATATGTTCTTAAGCCGTGACTCGTCA